GACTAGTGACATATTCATTGGGCAATCTAGCTGCCCCTCCATTCTAATTTTTAAAGAATTATTTTCTTCAGCGAGCTTTTGGGCTTCCTTTTTCCATTTGGCTAATTCTGCTTTTTAAGGCATTCTTCTCCTCATTGGCTTTTTCAACCTCTTTTGCCATTTGGGTTAGTTTATTTTTTAAGATATTACTGTCTTCAGTATTTTTTTGGTCCTCCTTTAGCAAGCTGTTGACTTGTTTTTCATGATTTTCTTGAATTACTCTCATTTCTCTTCCCAGTTTTTCCTCTAATTCTCTTACTTGCCTCTCAAAATCCTTTTTCAGTTCTTCCATGGCCTGGGACTGATTCATATTTTTCTTGGAGGCTTTGGATGTAGGAGCTTTGACTTTGTTAGCTTCTGGTTGTATTTTTTGATCTTCTTTGTCACCAAAGTAAGATTCTATGGTCTGACTTCTTTTGTGCTGTTTGCTTATGTTTCCAGGCACTTACCTGACTTTTAAACTCTTTGTTAAGGTAGGTGTTTACTTCCAGTGTTGAGGATGTACTGTCCCGAGCTTTAGGGGTTTTGTGCAGCTGTTTTCAGAGACACTTCTAGGGACCTTTAAATTTTCGGTTCTTCCAAGGTGGTATGATCAAAGGCGAGGTGTTTACTCCTTTCCTGGCCTGGGCTCTGGTCTATGAGTGACCACAAGCACTCTTTTCTGCCTTGGAACTGTGAGGAGGATTCTCTCTCCACTGCAGCCAAAAAGCTCCACCATGCCAGCACTCCTCCTCACCCCAGGACCACCACCCAGAGTTGTGACTCAGATCCAAGGATGGGCAAAGCAAGAGAATCCTGCCTCAACCCCAGCAAAGAGATCGTTGCAATCTCCCTCTTATCAGCCACTTGATCCCCTCACTATCTGTGGGCTGAGAGATCTGAAAGCAGCCACTGCCCTGGGGCAGCACCACGACTGGGGCCAGACTGAGCACTTCTCTCACCAAGGTCCAACAGACCTTTTCTACTGACCTTCTAAGGTGCCTTTGGTGTTTGTGGATTGAGAAGTGTGGAAACCACTACAACTGCTAGTGAGTCAGCCCCCTGAGACCTGCTCCGGGTTTGGTGAGGCTTGGTCTTTACCTGTATGGCCCACATGTGCTCCTCTCCCACCCTGATACAACAGACTTTTCCCCTCAACCATCCAGGTTGTCTTGGACTGGAAATTTGTTTCATGCTGTCTTTTTGTTGGTTCTGCTACTCTAGAATTTGTTTAGAGACATTTTTTACAGATATTTGGAGGGGAGAGCTCAAGCAAGTCACTGCTTTTACTTCCAGTATCTAAATTCTTAAAGGAATATTAAATTAGTAACAGGCTGAAATAGTAGAATCATAATAGTTGGTTGGGGAAAAACTAATTTTACTCCTTCCAGACTTTGATTGATCCAACCAACAATAAACAAAAAAGGACTTAAGAACCTAAATAACACTTCAGAAAATGAGATATGATAGACATTTGGAGATAAGTGAATGAGAACAGAAACAAATTTGCATATTTCTCAGTTATGCTTTGCACATTTACAAAAATCGGCCATATATTAATTCATGAAAATGTTACAAACAAATGCAGCAAAGCAGAATATTAAACTTATAATTTATAGACCACAATTCAACAAAATATTCAAGGAAAGGTGACAAAAAGGTTTTGAAAATTAATTGCAGACTAAATGATTTAATCCTAAAGAATGGATGGAATGAACAAATGAACAATGACCAAATCATAGAATTAAACAATAATTTCATTAAAGATAATGACACTGGTGAGACAGCATGCCAACATTTGTCAAGATACAGCTAAGGCAGTCCTCTGAGGAAAATTAATATCTTTTATCTTTACTTTAGACATCCTTCATGTCTCAAATTTACTCTCTCTTTACATCTGTCTTGTGGAATCCTATTTTTCCTTTAAGATGCACCTCAGGAACTATTTTCCCCATGAAGCTTTTTCTCATCTCTTCTTCTGCTCCTGCTCAAAAAGCTAATATTCTTGATTCCAAATTACCTCATGTTCAACTAACACATATGTGTATATACACACATGTGTACACATGCATATGTACGCATATTTGTATTATTATCTGCTATGTATAATTGTATATGTACTATCCATATTCCACATTAGAATATAAACATATTAGGAGTAGATTTTATTTCATTCTTTGCATTTTCATGCCTAGCACCTAGTATAGTACCTGGCAACTAGGAAGTGCTTCATAAATATTTGTTGATTGATTTCATCCTGATTTCCATGGATATGGGCTGTATTCATGTTACATCATTTTTCTGCTCCACTTTCTAATTTCTTATCACTTATTCTCTCTCATCTCAAACCCTGAATAGCCATGACCTTGATTCTTTTTCTTGGGGATGTATCTCAGTCCCTCGAAGCTTGTGGGAAGGGCTTCATAGGAAGTGGAGTAATACAGAATAAAATTGGAAAGATAAGTTAGAGTCAGTTTACAAAATGTTTGCAATGCTAAATGGAAGCATTTACATCTTATCCAATAGATATCAAAGAGCCATTGGAGTTTATTGACTAAGGGACTAACATAATCTGAATTTATGTTTAAAGAGAACCACTTTGGTAGCTGAATGGAGGATGGACTGAAGACAAGATATACTAGCTATCAGGAGACCATTTGTGAGGCCACTTCTATAGATAATGCAGTAGGTGATGAGAACCTGAACTTGGATAGTGGTCATATTAGTGAGAAAAAAAAGAGAATGATCTGAGACCTGTGGACAAGACTTGGCGATTTATTGGATAAGGTGGGTGAAAGCAAGTGGGTGAAAGCAAAGTCAAGGATGACTCTGAGGATGATGATATGAATGGTGATATAAATTCCTTCAACAGGAATAGGGAAGTTAAGGAGAAATTTGGGATGGGAGGGAAAAATCATGAGCACCTCCATAGACAAGTTGAATTTGTAATAGCTTTGGGACATCCATTTGAAACGTCCAAAAGGTAATTGTTTCAGCTGGTTTTGGGAATGGAAGTCTGGTAGATATATGCATGTACACATATGGTAACTAAGTATACATATATACATGCTTGTATCCACATATATGCATATGTTTCTATGTCTTTTGCATTGTTTGCATAAACATTTTATTTACTAATACGTGAACATGTTGTAATCCCCAGGACACTTTAAATTTATTAAAGGTTTGGATTACTTCACTTTTGCATTTGTATCCCCAGAAAGTTGCACAGTGTCAGAAACATAGTAGGCACTGAATAAATGTTGGTTGATTGATTGCCTCTAGGAAAAAGAATAAAGAACTCATTCAAATTTATAAGAATAAGAACCATTCCTTAATTGATAAATGATGAAAGCCATAGCTAGGAAGAGAAAGGGAAAAGGGTAATTGTGAAATTGAAAATTGATACCCCATGTTATTCTGTATTCTGTATTATTGACATTAGGGTCTATGATATAAGATGTTTTCTTTATAAGAGGTTAACTTGCCCATTTCTCTGGGCTGTAGCCCAGACTCATTGAGTCAATGTGGTCATTAGCCGTTCTGCCTGGTCAGAAGTCTAGCACGAGACCATTCTGGTGTAGGGGGTTGCCTTAAAGAGAACTTTCCAGAGGACGTTGACTTTCTGTCAATGTCTGTCTTTCTTGAAAACTTTCTGTTTTCCTCATTGCCCTGGACTTTGGAAGCCCCTTTTTGCAAGTCAGGGTGATGATGCCAAATATAGGTCTGCCCTCACCTTCACTCCTCCTTTACTATAGACAAACCAACATCACTGAACCTTATGTACTGTATAAACAACTGCTCTCTCAGCTGTAAGTAGCCTCTGTTCACCAAGGGGCCATTGACCTCTATTGCTGGCAGCTTCTAGCCTTGCAAACAAATAGATCATGCTAAAAAAAAAAGTTTGTGTCTCAATTTCTCTTTATCACCAATTTTTCTGATGACAGAACTTTCCTCAAGGGGAAAACATCCAAGCTATCAATAGATAGCTATACAAGAGAAAATGTTCCAAATCACCACTAATTAGAGAAATGAAAATTAGAACAATTAAAATTCTACATAACATTTGCCATATTGGCAAAGGAGGAAAATGACAAATATTATAAGGTCCATGGAAAGTAAGTGCATTAATGTACTCTTGGTGTAGCTATGAAATTGTACAGCTATTTTGTAAAAAAATTTGGATCTATATTGCCAAAGTTATTAGGTGGTACATACTCTTTGATTACAGGGCCTATACCCACAAAGAGATCAAAGAAAGAGGAAAAGTACTTACATGTAAAATCATTTGTGGCAGATCTTTTTGGGGCCCAAAGAACTGGAAACTAATTGGGCTCTCATAAAATGGAGAACAAATGATGGGATATGAATGTAATAGAATATGATTGTGTCACAATAACACAGAAGACAGTTTCAGAGAAACTGGGGAAGACTTGTGTAAACTGATGAAGAGAAAAGTAAGCAAAACTAGCAGAACAATTTCTAAAATAACAATAATACTGTTAATACAAGCAATTTGGAAACAATTAAGAACTCTGATCATCCAAAAGACCAACCGTGATTTGAGAGGATATATAATAAAATATAATTTATATATATATGTGTGTATATACATATAAATAATTTTACCCATATAGTAACACAGTCATGACAACCCAATTATACAGAATATGACACACATTTTTGGAGATGGCCAATATTGGGATTTGTTTTGATAGAGTTTTCTAAGTTACTACAGGGATTTGCACATTTGTTCGTTGTTTCCAGGGGGAACATGGGGAGAGAGAGAGAGAGAGAAAGAGAGAGAGAGTCATTTTAAAATTCTCATTTTTATTGAGAAAAATAAAATTTAATTTAAAATAATGATTAATCAGAACTGATGGATTAATATAGCATGTGTTCTAATCTGTCAAATAAAGTAGTTTAGCTCCATGATTGGTAAGATTGTTCCTGGTTCTATTTCTGTGACTTTATGTCCCCAGCTACTCTTTTTGGGATAAGGATCTCCCAAAGATTCTCTGGAAGGCCCCCAACACTTCCTTATTCCTCAGGCTATAGATGATGGGGTTGAGCATAGGAGTGAGGATGGTGTAGAAGACAGCTAAGTTCTTGCCCTCTTCTGGGGAACGCAGAGATGGGGGCCTCAGATATGTATACACAAATGGGGCATAGTAAAAAGTGACCACAGTCAGGTGAGTTGAGCAGGTAGTAAAGGCTTTCTTCTTGCCCTGTGATGAGCGCATATGATGGACAGCATAGAGTACCCTACCATAGGAAGCCATGATGCCAAGGAAAGGGACCAAAAGAAACAGGTTGGTGCTGAAGAGCACTGTGTACTCATAGGCCCAGGTATCTATGCAGGCCAGAGGCACCATGGCTGGGATATCACAAAAGAAATGATTAATGATTCTGGACTTACAATAGGGCATGGAGAGTGCATACACTGTATGGAAAATGGCATTGATGGATGAAGAGACCCAAGACCCAGCAATCATCAGCAAGCACATTCTCTTGTTCATGAGAATGGGATAATGGAGGGGGCGGCAAATGGCCACATAACGGTCATAGGCCATAGATGCCAGGAGCAACCCTTCAGCACATGCCATAGTTAAGAAACAGACACTTTGGAAACCACAACCCACCAAGGAAATGGAATTGTCCCTAGACAGGAAGCTGACAGCCATCTTGGGAACTGTACTGCAAATGTACATGAGGTCCATGAGAGAGAGTTGACTGAGTAGAAAGTACATGGGTGTGTGGAGGTGGTGATCCATCCAGATGAGGAGAATCATGGTTGAGTTACCCAAGAATGCAATTAGAAAGATGAGGATGACCAGTAGGAAGAGGGACAGGCCAATTTTTGTTGGGGGAAACAGCCCCAGTAAGAAGAAACCAGTAGTGGTTTGATTCCATTCTTCCATAAGAACTTTCCAAGTTATTTTCCTGAAATATAAAAGGTGAATGGAATGACATTTTGGAGCAAAAAATTAAAAAAAAATCCTTATGATTTCTCCTGGACTCCTCTCCTTGCCCCAACATCTCCCTGCCCCAAACAAAAATGCATACATGCACAAACACATGCTTATTTACGTATTTAGATGTGCTGATTTTAATCTCTGAAGCCCAGCTTATTCTGCTTCAAGTAACTGCAATTGGTATCTATATGTGTGTATGCATGTATATGTGTATGTGTGTGTATATGTATGTATGTGCATGAGTGTGTATCTGCAATGGGTTTTATTTTGCTTTTTTCCCCTAGACTTGTGATTTCCATTGTCTAGGGAGTTCTAGGTGATGAATTCCTTCTCTGAATGTGGATCAGGACCTGTTCTGTACCTTAGAGACTTAGAGAGGTGTCCAACTGCCCAGACTCACCCGCGCAGAATGTGTCAGAAGCAGAAGTGGAAGGCAGGTCTTTCTGACTCTGTTGCTCTCTCTCTAGCCCCAATGTCATGGCCACCTCTCATGGTTTTTTGTGCTTATTCAAATATTATTACAGCGGTTGATGTGAAAAGAGATATTGAAGAAGTAAGATACACACACATGTATTATAGCTATATATATGTGTGTGCATATATGTATGTTTATGTATATACATATACATATATATGTACACATATATGCATTGTTTAGTCATTCAGTTGTGTCCAAATCTTTGTGACCCTGTGAAACTTGGCTGTTTTGGTTTTCTTGACAAGGACATAGGAGTAGTTTGCCATTTCTTTCTCCAGTGGATTAAGACAAACAGGCATTCATGGGTATGTGTGTATGTGCATGAAATTAATTTTTAAAGTATTTATGAAATGCATACCATGTGCCAGGTACTGGGATAGAAATGTGAAAAGAAAGTCCCTACTCTTTAGGAGCTTATATTTGAATGAGGAAGGCAATAAATGTAAAGATGTGATGGGTGAGCTTTGGATTGGAACGTGACTTGGATGGTTAATATATCCACAAGGCAATTTATTGACATGAGGTTTCTAGAGCTGGGACATGTGGGTGGCTTAAGAACAACAATTGGTGGGCTCAGGTTGGGCTAATGATGGAGAATTGTCCCATTCAGGAGATCAGGAACCCTGAGTGGGAGCTGGAGAGCTGGGTCTGGGATAGGAGGAGAGTATGAAGGCAGCCAATGACATCCACCTCCCACCCAACACACACACACACACACACACACACACACACACACACACACACAC